TTGATAAATTGAAGTTGTTGGAGGAATAAAACAGAGTAGAAAACGTGAACATTGAAGTAGAATAAGCTGATACACGTATACACAAGGAATAAGAGATGATTTGCTGCACTGTGAAGTTGTTCTAATTTTGTTTTGTCGTTTTATTCTTTTAATAAGATGGAAAACAATTGAGGTTGTTGGTTTTTTCAAAACAGAACGAAAGAAATATGGGCGAATTTTAATGTTTATTATTTTGTTATGAAGGAAAAACGTTTCTTGAAGGACAAGTTGAAAAGACATTGTGTGTTGTATCGTTGTGTTTGTTATTATTAGGCTTTTATCGTGTATTTTTATTCCCCTTTTCTTCATTGAACATTGGAAAACATTTGAAGTAGTAGAAGAATCAATGAATAAACATGAATATTTTGAAGGGTTGTTTAACAGATATTGATTCAACTAGAAATTACAGCACGGTACCTCATTCTATTTATTTTTTTCTGAATTCAAGTTAATTAATTACTTACTTACTTACTTACGCCTGTTACTCCCAATAGAGCACAGGCCGCCGACCAGCATTCTCCAACCAACTCTGTCCTGGGCCTTCTTTTCTAGTTCTATCCACTTTTTGTTCATTCTTCTCATGTCTGTCTACATTTCTCGGCGTAATGTGTTCTTATGTCTTCCTCTCCTCCTTTGGCCTTCAGGATCCCATGTGAGGGCTTGTCTTGTGACGCAGTTGGGTGATTTCCTCAATCTGTCTCCTATCCACTTCCAGCTCTTCTTCCTGATTTCTTCCTCCACTGGAATCTGGTTTGTTCTCTCCCACAGTAACTTGTTGCTGATAGTGTCTGGTCATCGCATCCGAAGTATCTTGCGTAGACAACTGTTAATAAACACTTGCATCTTCTGGATAATGGCTTTCGTAGTTCTCCACGTCTCCGCCCCATACAGTAGAACTGTCTTTACATTTGTATTGAAAATTCTGATGTTGGTGTTGGTTGACAATTGTTTTGAGCTCCAGATATTTTTCAGTTGTAGATATGCTGCTTTTGCTTTGCGATCCGCGCCCTCACATCTGCATCTGATCCACGTGTCCATCAATGATGCTGCTCAGATATGTAAGGGTTTCCACATCCTCCAAAGCTTCTCCATCAAGTGTGACTCGATTGATGCATGTTGTGTTGTATCGGAGAATCTTGCTTTTCCCTTCATGTGTGTTGAGACCTACTGCTGCTGAGGCTGCTTCTATACTGGTCGCCTTCTCCTGCATTTGTTGTTGCGTGTGTGATATAAGAGCCAGATCATCTGCGAAGTCTAAATCGTCAAGCTGCATCCTGCCTGTCCATTGTATTCCGTGCTTTCCTCCAGATGTTGACGTCTTCATAAACCAGTCGATCACCAGGAGAAAGAGAAACGGTGAGAGTAAGCAACCTTGCCTAACACCGGTCTTTACTTGAAATGAGTCGGTGAGTTGTCCTCCGTGGACGATTTGGCAGTTTAGTCCATCATAGGAGTTCCATATGATATTGACTACCTTCTCAGGCACGCCGTAGCGTCAAAGAAGCCTCCATAGTGTCGTCCTGTCCACACTATCAAATGCCCTCTCGTAGTCGATGGAGTTGAATTCCATTCGATTGATTGTTCCACAACGATACGTAGAGTTGCAATTTGATCTGTGCACGATCTATCCTTACGAAATCTAGCTTGTTGATCTCGAAGTTGGGCGTCCACGGAATCCTTCACCCTGTTTAACAATACCCTGTTGAAGACTTTTCCTGGTATTGAGAGAAGAGTGATGCCCCTGTAGTTGTCGAACTTGCTGGGATTGCCTTTCTTTGGTATCTTGATCAGAAGTCCTTTTTTCCAGTCTATTGGTACTTGTTCTTCGTCCCAAATCTTACTGAAGAGGATGTGGAGTATCTTGGCAGTTGCTGTTGCATTTGCTTTCAGTACCTCTGCTGGGATAATGTCTGGTCACGCTGCTTTGCCGCTCTTGATTTGTCTAATGGCCATGGTGATCTCTTCAATTGTTGGTGGGCCAACATCGATTGGGAGGTCTGTGGGTGCCGCTTCGATGATGGTTGGGTTCAGTGGAGCTGGTCGATTCAAGAGTTCTTTGAAGTGTTCTACCCACCTGTTTCGTTGTTCTTCAATGCCGGTGATTACTTTGCCTTCCTTGCTTTTCACTGGTCTTTCTGGCTTACGGTGATTTCCAGCAAGTTTCTTTGTTGTATCAGACAGTTGTCTCATGTTTTCCTCTCTTGCAGCCTTTTCCGCTGTCATCGCTAAATCTTCCACATATTTACGTTTCTCGGTTCTGATGCTCCTCTTCACTTGCTTGTTTGCTTCTGTGTATTCGGCTTGTGCCTTGGCTTTTTCCGCTCTGGTTCGGCTGGTATTGATTGCTGCTTTCTTGTTCCTCCTTTCTTCAATTTTATTCAGTGTACCAACAGTGATCCATTCCTTGTGATGGTGCTTCTTTTGGCCCAGAACCTCTTGACATGTTGAAACGATTGCCTCTTTGATACCTATCCAGTTGCTCTCCATGGTAGTCCCCTCTCCATTAAGTAGATCATGAAAGGCCTGGAACCTGTTTCTGAGGGCTATGTTGAATTTGTTGAGTTTGTCAGCATCTCGAAGAAAAGCCGTATTAAACTTTTGTGATGTTGTCCGCGCCGTTGTCCAGTGCTTCCTGAGTTTAAGTTTCATCTTGACGACCAGCAAATGATGATCGGATGCTATATCAGCTCCTCTTCTGGTTCTCACATCCTCCATCGTCCTCCTGAACATTTTGTTGATGCAGATATGGTCGATTTGATTCTGTGTAGTGTGATCCAGTGAAATCCAAGTGGCTTTGTGTATGATTTTGTGTGGGAATATGGTGCCACCTATGACAAGTTTATTGAAGGCACATGGGTTTGCAAATCTCACCATTTTCGTTCTATCTCCCAGTCCATGTCGTCCCATGAAGTCTTCGTATCCAGTGTTGTCAATCCCAACCTTGGCATTGAAATCTCTGATTTGAATGGTCAGGTCCTTGGTTGGCCACTTCTCGAAGATCGACTGCAGCCTATCGTAGAATTGGTCTTAAGCGTCTTCATCGTAGTCGTTGGTAGGCGCATAGCATTGGATGACGTTCATTGTAATGCCCTCTCTCTTTGTTTTAAAGGAGGCTTTTATGATCCTTGGTCCATGAGATTCCCATCCAATTAGTGCATTTTGTGCTTTTCTGAACAGCATCAATGCAACTCCTTGTGTATGTGGGGCATTTTCTTCTTCATGACTGGAGTATAACAGAAGTTCTCCTGAAGACAGTCGTTGTTATCCAACCTGCGTCCAATGTGTTTCGCTGATTCCAAGAACCTCCAGGTTGTATTTTCTCATTTCTGCAGCAATTCGGAAGACTCTTCCGGTCTCCCACATTGTTCGGACATTCCATGTACCTATAAAAATTGTCGCTCTAGTTGTAAGAAGGTGCATCGGCCTCATGACTTCCGAAGGAACTCGGCTTTCATCATGAGACGTCATAATTATTCGTTCTACTCCCAGGGCAGAGTTTGAATGGTTTGAATGATTTTTTCTGGTTAGCGTTTTTTTAGCGAGTTTGTTTTCTACGGGATGTGGTCGCTAACCCCATGCCCAACCCTCCTCCTTTACCCGGGCTTGGGACCGGCAGTAGCCCCCAGAGGAGCTACAGGCGGAGTTGAATTCAAGTTAATGGAATGAGTTAAAAAGTTTCTGTATATAAGTCAGCTGAAAATAATTGATCGAAATCTGTAAACGAACAGTGAGTTATTAGTTGATATTTACCGGTGAAAGATCATCAATCTTGAAAGAAATAATATTACTTATAAGATATGAATTGGAGTCAACCACAATCCACAGTTAGAGAAGTAATCATTGAAGTATTCAATGAATGACGTAGTTCTCATCAAGATTAAATTATTTACATTGACTAATTGAATACAATGTTATTAATTACTATACATTTAATAATTTGTATACTACTTACCACGAAAGTTGAAATCAATAAATTTTCAGTCATCGATGACACTGTTGTTCGGACGAAGTGATCTGCAACATTTTCACTGTTCACTGAATGGTTCTTTTCTCTGTTCATTTACTGAATCTCTGTTATTCATCTGGGATATTAGCCTTTGTTACACTGAATACGTGCATAACAATCGCAAACAACTCCAACCCCTTTGAAACTAAACTGCGCATCAAAATTACACTCACTTATTCAATACTCATTCTCTAAATAAAAAGAGGAGAGGAGAGTACTGTATTTAAGATATTTAGAGAATATTATTAATATAACAGATGATTCCAATCAATGTGTTTAGTTTCTAGTTTAAATGACGCATTTTCTTTTTATTCATGGCTAATTTCTTCAATTTATCATGGCTAAGTTCATGGCACTTACACTCATATACACATAAATAGATACATACACAGATTAATTTACACTAGAAAATGTGGTGCTGTGTTTTTATCATGAAAATTCAATTCCAACACTAAACCAAATGATATTTCAGAGGGTATTTTGTGGAGAATATAGTAATTTCATTGTTGAAATCATGAGTCAATTGAAGCTGGACCACCATGGACAACCTGGAAGCACTGAACGACCGTTTCGTCCTATTATGGAACTCCTCAACAGTGCGAATCCACGATCCAGCACTCGCGAGACTGGAACCTAGGACCTACCAGTCTCTAGCCAGAGCCCTTAACCGATAGATCACTGAGCCTGTCGGCATCCAACGGTGTTAATGATATTTGAATTTTTCTGAAAGTACACAAACAAATAAATAAACGTATGGACAAACTTCATTATTACATTGTAACCTGTTACTAATCTGTTACATAACCAAATAGTTTATGTCAACCATAACAATTTACAAAATAAATAAATAAATAGAAATGAAAATCAGAAGTACACTGACACACGTTTTTTGCATTTCTGTGAATGGAATAAATATGGCAGTTTTATTCTCTGATTAGTTAAAAATAATAATAACATAAAATGCAGCGACTGGCCTGTCTGTTCTTTCATTCAGTGAAATTCACCTCTCTCTCACTTCGTTAAAACAACAATGAGAATTAGAAAGAAATAAACATGAATTTGAAGGTGAAGACAACATTGGTAACAGTGGTAGGTGTTGTAGTAGAGTAGTCGCAGTAATGATAGTGGCATGTGGGCACCACTTCAGAGAATTTAATTATTAATATTCATTATTATTATTATTATTATCTCACTAGAGCTAAATAAATATGTATGTATGTTTACCCACCGATGTACTCATATATGAAAATAAATGAACGTATCTATGTCTCTATGTATGTGTGTGTGTGTATGTACGTACGTAGGTTAGTATATTTTTGCACACACATTTAATCCTAACTGGCTTATTTATTTTTCTTCAATAAACTATTACAACACTTAGTTCAAACTATCCTCGATACATGAATTCATCTGTTCATCTATAAAAATATTTATCATATGTGTGTGCATGTGTGTAAATCCATGTCCAAGTTGAGAATATTTTTTTAAAATGAGAATGTTGATAATCATATTAACAAACTGGACATTGTCCATTTGGTATACGGACAGAATATCTCAGTAATATCTCAGTAATGTATTATCGTAAAATGTTACCGATATATGTATATCATATACTCTCACATGAGCAAACATGAAGTATCTATATATGAATAAGTACTTCACCTAAACGTAGTTTCACATCATTACATGTATTCGTGTGTTTGTCTATTCAATGATATATTGACTTGCATGGATGTGTGTCCCTCACTATCTCTCCGTGTGTTTGTTAATCATCTATGAGGGTATTCGACAGATGAGTAAATTAATTATTAGTGAGTGAGCGGAGTGAGGAAATAACAGTAAACATTTCCTCTATTTTATTCATTAACTGTAAGGTGCATAATTTTTTTTTTTGAGTAAAGAAAATCGTTATCATGATCATTTTTAATATCACGTTTTTGTGAATAAAACGAACACTAGATAGTCCGAGTTTTTCCTAACGTTGACAGTCATCTTTGAAATCTAAAAAGAAACGACGACTACCTCAAAAACAACAATACTGTGAAAACTTCTGTTCACCTACCACATTAACATTAAATTATCAATCTAACACTATTGTATAAATTAAATCACTATAAAAATTGTTTCCAATGTTTCCCAAAAACCCTAATGTAATAACGAAGCGATTTCTTTGAACTTATCCGCTGATCATTATGATGGCAACATTGTTAAATAATATTAAAGAACCTTTACATCATATGACAAATCAACCAGTTATGACAGTTACATCGAACTATACCGATTTAACTATGCTAAATACGAAAATTACTACTAGTAACAACATTAATAATAACAACGGAAGTGATATTACTACTCACAATGGTATCACAAGTAGTAGCAGCAGTGGCCATTGTAGTGATAATAACGATCTGAATGTTGCTGAAGCACATTTATTATTGGACAACTGTGATGATGCTATGTTATCATCATGTAACAGTTCACTTATAATGGATGGACATGAAACTAACTCAGGCAGTAATTCACCAATGACCAATGCAAGTGTAACCATGGAAACTAATGAGAATGTTATGACTAATACTAATGACAACTCTAACATCAACACTAAAAACAACAGTACACATCCTATAATGCAAACATCGCCGCCGTCGTCATCGTCTCCATCATCATCAATACTGGAGCATCATCAAATATCTAACTTTAAGAATAAAGAATCGAATGATTTTCGGTGGAATACGAAAAATACTAAATTATTTGTTGGACAAATACCGAGAAGTATGCAAGAAAATGATTTACGGGTGATTTTTGAAGAATTTGGACCAATTTATGATCTTTTAATCTTAAGAGACAAAATTACTGGGATGCATAAAGGTGAGTTATAATTTTAGAATCATTAATTGATTAACTTATTGATGGATTATTAAATAAAACTATTTAGTGGATAGATAGTTCACCCTTAAGCTTGATACTTCAATAATGTAAACTTACAACTTTCAGGTTATGTGATTAGTAGAACTCAGTAGTTCAATGTCTTTTTGGTTTGAGTCATAGTTTTTTACTGTGCTATAATCATTGTTAGCTAATTTTAATTAATAAATGTTCTTCTGTGCTAACTCGAATAACTCTATAAGTCAACAAAGATTTGTCGTTGGATTTCTGTTAGTTATTTATTGTGAATTTATGAAAAAATTTTTAAAGTGTGTAATTAATTTCCAGCATGGTTTGATAATAAAATTTGATTCTGGAATAGCTTTAAATATAAATGAGCTAAATGAAACTTTTTTTTAAAAGAATAAACCTCTTAAACTGCTCTAAATATAACGGATACTTTTATAAGCAAAGATGGATAGTGGCTAGCAGTGGAATCCAGGATGCGCGCCACTTCGTCCTTTTTGGGACTCGTCAGCTGGATGTACCTGCATCTCAGAGTTGATGTTCACTCTGGGACTCGAACCCAGTACCTTTCGCTTCAAATGCCATCGCGTTTTTCTACTCAGCTACTGAGTCTTGATAGAACGAAACGCGCATCCTGGATTCCACTGCTAGCCAACATTCATCTTTGCTTATAATGCTTGTGAATTAAGGCTATGTTGAGGCAATACGCACAGTATGCACATATGCCAATAAGAGAATGACCATTTGCAGTCCTAAACATCAATGGGAAGATTCAAACAAACAATAGCAAGTGAACTTATAACTGGTAATCACATTTTAAATAGTATTCTTTTAACACACCCACAAAACTTAATATCTATTTGAATAGTTATGTTTTATTGAAATCGTTTTTTTCAAAAATTTGTTTACGACCGCTTTTCAATCATAATCATTGGTGTTCAACAGACCGAAATTGGTTACATGGGGAAAAAACACTTAATTGTAATTATCGATAACGGGATTCAGTGAGTATTTATGCAATTTGTAGGTTACATTCATTATTGATTATTGTTATTTGTAGTACAACAGAGAAACAAGGACCACTCGATGTGTAGATGTTGGGCGAAGGTTCTTGAATTCAACTGATTGGGATGTTCACTAAAGCTTGACGAAATCATTCTACTCCATATGATATCAATTAGCAACGAGTACTATCAATAATTGATTCGCATATATTCGAGGGGAGCAACTCAGTTGATTTATCTTTTCTTGTAAGCATTACCAACAGTTAGAACTGGATGACTATTCAGGACTAAAAAAAAACATAAATTAATTATAGTTCAAAGCATGAGTCAGTTGAAGCTAAAATACCATGGAGAACAGAGAAGCACTAGACGACCGTTCCATCCTATTGTGGGACTCTTCAGCAGTGCGCACAATAGGACGAAACGGCAGTCCAGTTCTTCCCGGTTTTCCTTAGTAGTCTAGCTTCAAGTGACCCATGCTTTCAACTATGAACATACTAAATCTCCACAGAATTCCTTCTGATTATAAGTTGATTAATTAAAACAGAAATATTCTCTGTAAATAATAATTTATATATTGTTTCATGGAACTGTCAATGAAATATTATCAACATAATTAAAACTAATGAATTTCACATAATAAATCAAATTTATTTTTTCACTGGATAGTTTTCTATATCTAAATCTTCAAAATATTTGATAAAGATAGGGGAGAAAAAAAAAGTTGATGATGGTTATTCATTTCATTACTTCTTTTTTGTACATTCAATCAACATTGAAAGCAAGTGACGTTTATCATTACTGTATGTTTATGTATTTAAAACGGTCACGCAACTGATAAGTGAATGTGTTACTGAATTTCATTGAATTTTTTTTTACAAATTATAACTAACTGATTAATTGACATAATGATTATCTTATGAATTGTATGATAATAGTCTCCAGTCATGATCACCAACCTTATGTTGTGTACATCAACAGAACATTAATTATTAATCTATATAACGGATTACAGTAATGAATTCTTAGCGTTAACATTCAATATTGTAAGAATAAGTCTGTTGAATATTGATTTAACTTGTGAACTACATGTAAAATACGTTTGAACAATAGGCTGACTATCATTTATCCTTTACCCTTAAGTGTTTTTAACTTTAATTAATCCTAGTATCATCGTATGATATTAACTTGATGTATGAATTTTATTGTAATAACTGCCAGTTCTTTCACAGTTCAGATGATGTAGAAAATATACATCAACTTAAATGATGGTGACGGTGTAGATTAAGATGTTAGTAATAATTCCACTTGAATTTTGTAAATGTACTTTTTTGATTAATCTTTTTCTATAAGACCGTTCAAATATATTAGATGATTAAACATGAATAACTATTTAGATAAAACAAATCTAAAATTGAAAATATCTTTTCTCGATGCTTCACTGCTTTGTGGATCAGATCTTTAGGTTAAAGGCTCCGGTTGTGGCCTCTAAGAAAACTACCTGCTTCAGTTTGGGCACCCGGGCAGTATCACAGCCCTCACACAAATCAAATAAGATTTGTATGGCGCATATGTATCTGATGCCCCTTTGTACAAATTTTTATGTGTTTAATCAATAATAATAAATACTTTTTAGAAAATAGTTAATCAAGAAGTCTAAGTAGGTTACCTATTCCAATGAAGTAATCTATTAAAACAAGTCTATTTTCGATCTGTAAAATGACTGTTTGTGTATAATTATGATAAATTTTATCACTATAAAGAAATTAAATGCTTATTGGGATTAAACAATTTTTTTAAAATCTGGTATTTAATTTAATTAATATTGTCTTCAATAAATATTTGGGGTACCTAGCCTGTCGTATGTCTCGTGACCTTCGGGTTGCCTGATCTGCCAAGGGCGATGGGACAGTGCATGACGGTATTGTTGTGTGCTAGATTCAAAGAGACTTGTTTGCTATATGCATGCAGTTATCCACGTTATTGTTCCTATTGTTCCAATAAATATTTATATGATGGAAGTTATCTATGAAATATTAAGAACACATTTATTATCATCATGGTAAATAAAAGAAATGTCAATGCCATGGTTTATGAACACGTTGAACGTGAGATAAATATTACCAATAATATTGGTAATTAATATTAGCCTTCAGATGTCAACTCGGTGATCTGAGGATTAAGCATCTACTTAGAAGCTTGAATGTCTTGAGTACAATTTTCGATTACGTAACAACTATGTTTCCCAACTCCCCTAGTTGGACTACTCGTGTCCACTAACCCGGTTAAAGCACTGGGCACTCTCTTTTCGTCTTCTCAATTTTGTGAACGACATCCCAACCACAAGAAGGCAGTGGGTGGAAATTCCCTGGCAAAAGGTCAATATACGTATTCATGTGAGAGCATTTCGAGAGAGAGAGAAAGGGTGGGTCTTCCTCATTCTTGATCGTTTCAGGGCATTCGGGGATCAAACTTATCATCCTCATGGCTTTAAATAAAAAGAATATTTCTATGCACTTTGAAAATACTCACAGTTGTCAACTATAACTGATCTAATAAGTTGAACGTAACTATAGAAAATTCATTTTGTTTTAGTGATTAAATAATTTCTATTTTCTTGATATTTCCAAGTTAATCAAAAAAAATATTTGCAAATCACTTTAGTCTATTACTTGATAAGCATTGAAATTAGTCGAAAAAATGGAAGATTTATATGATTTAATGTTTAATAAAATATTTTGTGATAAAATTCAACCAGGTCTGTTGGGAGATATCAATTCACTATAGACAATTGGTGAATGGTTGCTCAATTTCGTGGATTGGTTGAAGTTAGACATTAAAACCGTTGGATGCCGACCGGCTCAGTGGTCTATCGGTTAAGTGCTCGCGCGCGAAACTGATAGGTCCTGGGTTCAAATCTCGTGAAGCGGAATTGTGGATGTGCATTGCTGAGGAGTCTCACAATAGGACGAATCGGCCATCCAGTTCTCCCAGGTTTTCCACGGTGGTCTGGTTTCAATTGACTCATGATTTCAACGATATAAAAGATTTTCTTGTTAAAAAAAATAATAATAAGTACAATGAAAACTGTCATAGCATCTAGCTATTGATCATAATACAATAAATTTTAAGTATGACCTCATAGAAAGTGAAAACCAGAAAACAAAAAATCAGCTAGTTAATTATCTACAACATATCACTGATTACAATCCAGTAACTGAATAATGATTGAGGTTAACAAAAAAAAGGAAATCAATTTGAAAATGGCATAAAATCAATGTAAAATAATTTAATAAATTATCCTGAGACAACAATTAGAATAAGGATAGTAACTAGGAATATTTTATACGACACATGTATATTTCACCCTATTCATGTTAGGATTTCGAACAGATACGTACTGTGTTTAAATTTCAGTGTGAACATCAACAATGAGAATAAGAAATAGTCACTTGATGGACTCTTAATAACACGAAGCTGTTATCATAGATTTTATTCTTAGACTAAAATAATAAAACCCAGTACTCAATACCTAATGTTTCATGCATATATTGAGATAGAATATATTGATTGGATTCTATTGTGCTAGGCATTATCTAAAACCAAAATCTAATTATATCCAAATAAATGTATACATTTTCAGTATAAATTAATATTTACTGGAAAATATAATTGAAAACATAGAAATCAATCTAAATAGTGTTATTTTAGACTCCTCAATTATAAACACTCTCAACTGTTCCGACCCCACTCTCATAGATACAGATCATTAAAATAAAAAAAATTTCAGATTCTCTACTATTCTAATTAGATTTCTATCAAACTATTAGTAGTGGGAGTTTTGATAATGAATTCATATTATGAAAAAGTAAAATCAACCATTTGTTATATATTTATAAATATCTGAATTCATGTACAATATAAACCTACGAAATCTAATTTAGAAATTATTATTAATAGTGTACAATCATG